CATGATCCTCGTTACCTTCCTTCTTCTTTGGTGAGAAAAAACAGCCTATGATACTCTGGTAGAAGACTGAGTTGTCCCCACACACGGCGCCAATTTGTTATACCAAAAATACCTGAACCGCTCGACCGCTCCTCTCGAACCGAATTGAACCTTCTCGATCGCCGGTACCTGCAAAACACGTCGGGGGTGGTCCCGGCGTGGACACTCCGACGCTCAAGTCAGTGGTGGTGTTTCGGAGAGAAAACGGCAGAGTAACAGGATAATATGTGTATGTGTGTTGTGTAGAATGAATGAACCTGCTCCTTTTATAGGTGTGGTCATGTACAAGCCAAAGAGTTCTTGTCGGTCTAGAAGTCTTCCTCGTGTTCATCTCTAAATTAGGTTGAAGATGTCCAGAACTTCAGAGTCCTTATCACTACAAACTTTCTTGTGACTTGGCCACGAAGCCACCGTCGGGCTCTGGTGACCTCGGCCGAACCCTCTGGCCTAGCTGCCTAGGTGTCGAGGTGCCGAGGTGCCGAGGTGCCTAGCTGCCTAGGTGCCTAGCCGCCTGGGTGTCGAGGTGCCTAGCTGCCTAGGTTCCGAGGTGTCTGGCTGCCTAGGCGATCGCCTCCGTCTAGCTCACCTTGAGCTGGTCTTCACCTAGCGCCCACCAAATATAACTGTAACTAAACTCGAACCACGACCGGTCCTCCAGGAACCGCTTCTCATGACTATATCAGAGTTCATTATGGATAGTTCGAGCAGACCTCGGTGGCAGGTCGATTATCTTTATTTGATTCTTGTTTTCGTCGAATTTTTCGACCTAGGTGGCATGTCAGGGAGTTCATTCAGAGCAGTTCACGAAGGTTATTTGGATTTTGAGAGAATATACAGCAGGCTTGAATTTTAAATTTTGAACTGGGGGGCGATAGGACGTGGTGGTCTAAGAGAGTTCGAACATGGTGATCGAAATACAACATACATTAGTTCAAATTTTCAAATTCAAGATTTTGGGGAACGGTCATTCAGTTCTTGTTTTTCGACCTCATTGGCAGGTCACTCGGTTTTCGACCTTAGTGCAGTGGTCGTTCAACTTTCGGTGTTCGACCCCAGTGGCGGGTCTCTCGATTTTCGACCTCAGTGGTTGACCAGCTTTTGGTGTTCGACCCCAGTGGCGGGTCTCTCGGTTTTCGACCTCAGTGGTCGTTCAACTTTTGGTGTTCGACCCCAGTGGCGGGTCTCTCGATTTTCGACCTCAGTGGTCGTTCAACTTTCGGTGTTCGACCCCAGTGGCGGGTCACTCGGTTTTCGACCTTAGTGGTCGATCAACTTTCGGTGTTCGACCCCAGTGGTGGGTCACTCGGTTTTCGACCTTAGTGGTTGATCAACTTTTGGTGTTCGACCCCAGTGGCGGGTCTCTCGATTTTCGACCTCGGTGGTCGTTCAACTTTCGGTGTTCGATCCCAGTGGCGGGTCATTCGGTTTTCGACCTCAGTGGTCGTTCAACTTTCGGTGTTCGACCCCAGCAGCGGTCACTCGATTTTTGACCTCATTGCTCGTTCATCTCTCGGTATTCGACCTCAGAGGTTCGGTATTCGACCTAGGCGGCGGGTCTTTCGGTTTTTGACCTTAATGGTCATTCAGTGTTCATTTGGGGTCCCGATGCTCATTTGGAGATTTAGCGACTATTTGGTGGTCAATGATTTATCCAAATTATAACCTCAGTGGCAGGTTGACGGAAATAGCCCGAAGAGGAATTTCACTCTTGGATCGAGTTATGCTTACTCGACCAGAGTGGGGGGACTAGATGATATAGGATATTATATACTAGACCAGTCTTAATGGATAAAAAGGGAATATATTGAAGAATAAGCCCACACATGGCTAGGACACGTGGCATGATGCTATTGGACAAGCCCAACTTGGGCCATAAGGTACATTCCCCCTATAAAAAGGGGCTGAGGTATCTCATTCTCTCACTCTCTCTACATTCATAATTATACTCTTGAGACTTGGAGTGATATTGACTTGAGGGTCGGAGGCCCGACGCCGGGACCCCTCCCGGCATTGGGTTCTTGCAGGTCCGGTGGCCGTTCGAGTTGAAGGAGCCCGGGTGAAATCTTATTCACTTCAATCATCATCTTTATAACAAGCTTCATCTTCATGCATTTGATTTGACTTCACCCAATTCACCGAGGTAGGTATAAGCCAAACAAAAAAACGACACTTGTTGTCTGGACAATTGCAAAATAGCTTGCCGACAGTTTCTTTTGTAGGACCCACAACCCTAAGTTGAGCAAATGTGTTGCAATAGCATTTAGGGTGCCTATACCTTAAATCCAAACTCTCATTCTTCGCCGTCCTTGATTTTTGAGAAGACATTTTCAACCTACATTCATTTAAAAAAATAAATAAATTAAAATGATATAAAGAAAAAAAAAAAANAAACAAAAATGCGAACATGTTTCTGTTAAAAAAAAAAAAATACCTGTTGGCGCCAAATTGAAGCTGCTATGAAGAAAGGCGCAAATATTGGATAAGAGGGATGGAGAAAAAGGCTGCAAGGGTTGCTCATATTTAAAGGGTTAGTGAGGGATAAAATGGCCTTTTGACCCGCTGCTGCACTGAAAAAAGGAAGAGTGAGCCGCATAGTTGGCGCGTGTAGACCACTTCTGTCATCTTAAACGTTTTTGGGTATTTCGTGCAGGCCAAATTACAATACAAGGGGGTTTGACGCAATTTTGAAATTACAGGGGGAAAACGCGCAGATTTCGTATAATACAAGGAGTGACTGTATATTTTACCCTCAAAAGAAATATGGGAATCACTGAAATATAGCTTTGCTAGCCATAGTGTAGCTAAACAAATGCAACTTAAGCTAGAGTTGCAGAAACTAAAGAAAGGAAATATGAAGATGAGGGAGTATTTCAACAAAATCAAAGGGATATGAGTATTTCAACAAAATCAAAGGGATATGTGATTCATTAGCCAATGTAGGAAGAAATATAGGATACAGTGATCAGTTTTTGCATGTGTTTGTTGGTTTAGGGCCAATGTAGGAAAAAATATAGGATACAGTGATCAGTTTTTGCATGTGTTTGTTGGTTTAGGGCCTGAATACAACCCTGTGGTTTTGGTTATAACCTCCAGATCGAAAAAAAAGCTCCATGATGAAGGCTTATTTTGTGCTTATAAGCTTTGAGAGTAGATTGGAGAGTCTTGAGAGTACAACTGAAGGAGATGGGTCATATATTGCTGCAAACTTGGTTAATCACACTTTTGGTAGAGGCAGAGGTTCAAACTCAATGAGAGTAAGGTCTAACACTAAAACTCAATCTTTTAGAGGAAGAGGACAAGGTAGAAATAGGTAACTATAGAGGTAGAGAGGCATAGGTGGTTTTGCTGAAAATAGGCCATGACGTCAAATATGTGGTTACAATAACCACACAGCTGATGAGTGCTACTTTAGATTTGACATGAACTTCACTGGCAGACAACGAAACAATGCAAACTAGAAGAATCAATTTGGAAATGGTGGACCTGCAGTCAACATGGCAAGCCTTGGTAACCAATCTGAATAGATCACACAAGACATCTATCTTGACTTAGGAGCCAGTCACCACCTTACCAATGTTTTCAACAACCTCAGTCTAGCATCAGATTACCAAGAAAATGAGAAGGTTCAAACTGCAAATGGCATAGGTATGCATATTGATCATACATGTAGTGAAAAGATGAAAAGTCCTAATCACAACTTTCAAATATTTTTCTCTTAAATAACTTAATGCACATTCTTCAGATTACAAAAAAACCTCCTTAGTATGTCTCCGTTTGCGCAAGACAATCAAGTTTATTAAGAACTTCATCCACATTTTTGTTTTGTGAAAGTAAGCAGACTCAACTTTTCTCCTAGGAATCCTTAAAGATGGACTTTACTATTTCAAGCTCATCAAAACTTAATATGGATCTTTTTTTAGTCTAGTTATTCCACCACTAGTCATGTTTTTCCATTTCAATCAAATTGTAATGAAGTCATTTTAAAGCCAAATGAAACCTTAGAGATTTGGCATCATAGGCTTGGGCATCCTTCTTTCGGATTGTAAAAGTTACATTGCAGCATTGTTATGTTTCTTTTCATGATAAAAAAATATCTTTGTTCTACAATGTTTGAATGGAATCTAAGTTTCAGAAATTTCCTTTCTCTAGTTCTGAATATCACAACTGTAAACTCTTTGATCTTATCCATGTAGACTTATGGGGCCTTGCACCAACTCCTTTTCATAAAGGCTTTAAATATATGTTAGTTTTATTAATCATTGCAGCAGATTCAAATGGTTCTATCTCATAAAGAATATATCATATGCCAAGAATGCCTTTATACAGTTCACTGCACTTATTACGAACCATTTTTGAACTACATATAAGTCTTTACAAAGTTATGGTGGAGGTGAACTTGTAGCCCTTCAATCCTTTCTTTCTGAGAACTGTATTCAATCCAAAGTTTCTTATCCTCACACTCCAGAACAGAACATGTTAGCTAAAATAAAACACATACATATTGCGCAAGTTGGTTATCCTTGCTATTTCAATCTCATGTTCCTCAAAATAATGGGATGAGTCTTTTTCAATTGCTTTTTTTCACATTAACATAACACCGCAGAAAGTCCATAACCTCACATACCCTTTGAAGGTTTTGGCTAATAACAAACCAGATTACCATTTTCTAAAGAGCTATGGTTGTCTTTGTTACCCACTCTTGAAACCTTACAACAGGCATAAACTTCAATACTAGAGCCTTGCTTTTGTTTTTCTTGGTTATAGCCCTAATCATAAAGGATACAAAGACATTCTTCTTTCATGTAAAATCATTGTAACTAGGCATTTTTTGTTTGATGAATCGATATCCCTTTTGCTGAAAAACACAGACCTTCTACTTCACAACATGATTCATCACCATCTATTTGTCCTCTTCCTCATATCATTAGCCAACCATTTTTTACCTCTGAGAATGATTATTTTCACAATAACTGAACACATCAAGAAACCATAAAAAGCAGCGCATTCCTACCAATTCATCCTCTCCTGCTCCACTTTTACGTCAACCTTACACCTCACCTCATCACTCTAGTACATCTCCTTCTAGTTCTTAAAATTCTTCTATACATATTTGACAAATCATCACTGACTAACCTATTGAGCATAATAAAATATCTCAAGCTATTGCTACTAATGTGAATGATTTTCAAATTACATATTCTCATCACATGATAACCAGGTCAAAATCAGGGATATATAAGCCAAAGAGCTTCTCCACTACTCAACATCAAGCATTGAAACCATCCTCTATTTCTAAAGCTTTATCTTTTCCTCCACGGTTCGTGGCAACCAAAGCCATAGATCATGCTTTAGTTACCAATAATACATGGTCCTTAGTGCATGCACTAATGAACATAAAGGTTACTGTAAAGAAATTGGTGTTCAAAGTCAAAACCAACCCAGATGACTCTGTTGCTAGGTATAAAGATAGGCTGGTGGCCAATGGCTACACTTTGGATGGTGGTATAGACTATAAAAAAACCTTAAGTTCATTGATGGTTTGTATATTAAAAGCATTGATTCGTCTGAACTCTACTTCCATTTTGAACAAATGAATCATGTTTACTCAGTGTTTGTGTAATTTACTTCATGTATGGATTTGCCTTTTGTCATGTTATTCACATTGAAGATATTGTGTGACATTTTCTCAAACAAAATGTTATATTATCGGTTCCTTGTGATAGTAATGGAGAAATCTATCGGTATGAATATAGTATAATGCGAGGGGGGTTAAGGCTAGACCCCCAATCTGTACATAATGAGGACCCTAATTGGGCTGAAAAATCACAAGTTTACACGTCCAGACAACAAACACAAATAACAACAGAAACAAAAAAAAATAAAAATAAAAAATAATGAAACAAACAACAACTAAAATGAAATAATCTAAACCTGGGATGAAAGGCCCCCAGGCGTGTAGGTTGCACCACGAATGGGCAAGAGCCCACAAAAAATACAACACAAATACCCATATATGAGCGATGGGTAGCCCATCTGATCCATTCACACAAGAGTACAGAGTCAGAGAGGACCATCATCTGTATGAAAAATGCGCCTTTGGGGGGTGGAGGCATCGATGCAAGCGAGGAAGCCAGCAGGTCGATCCCTCTCGCAAAAGATGTGCGAGATCCGATAACGAACCGACCGAAGTGTGGATTTGATGCTCATGAGTGGGTGCTGAATCTTCCACGAGCCCTGGTGGCCTGAGGTCAAGAGGGTGGTTACAACGACATCGTCTAGCTCTATACAAATGTGAGAGGAGATAGAGGCTGTAATGTGAAGACCGATCTGAAGCGTCTGAACCTCCGCGTCGTAACTCAAGGAGGCCCGAAGAAGGGCGTGAAATGCGGTAATGAGAGCTCCGCTGTGATCCCTAATCAACCCCCACCTATGGCGGCTCCGGTAATTTGGTCAAAGGTCTGTCGGTGTTTAGCTTAACCTAAGGGGGCTTGAGTGTCAGCCAAACAACGGCTCTGGGGCGTTGGTGCTGGACAGGCAGCAACGGAAATGGTATGAAGCGGTGGGTCAATGTGCAGCCTGTATAGTCTTTAGGTGTGAGTCTGCCCAGAGCTTTAGGAGAGAGAGATGTCGATCAACCTACAAAACAATATGAGAGCACATAAAAGTAATATCCCTATGCTTTGCACTATTCTTTTTTTGTCTAGATGGACCACATGATCAGACAAGGAATGAGGAAGCCCACATGTCTAAAGTGTGTGTGCTACGAGAATAAACTCAAGAGCTCAAAAAAACTGTCTTTAGTGGGTAGGGGTATATTAGTATCAGTGGCGAAATGCACCCACCCTCTACTCGCAAACTCGCTCTTTAAAAACAAATGGACAAAATTCTCAGTCTGGAAATGTCCCGTCTCGGCACAGCAGTAACACTGCGAAGGAAAGGAAAACCCCCTCGCCAGCGTCACATCGTCTATTGAAATACGGCGCAGAAGGAGGCGCCAAAGGAAGACAGAGATGGTCGGGGTAAGCAGGTCGATCCAAATGGCCTCGAAGAGAAGGTTAGGCCAGTCACCCATCCGAACTTGCTCCCAAGCCAAGGTCGTAGAAAATGCACCCGAAGATGTAAGTCTCCACCTCATACCGTTCAAACCGTCCTCCGAGATGGGAATCTGATGGATCTGATCTAAAACATGATCACTAAAGCCGGCACCAGTGCCCAACACCCTCTTTAACCTATCCCTATCTCAAACCCCCTCAACCATAGGTCCTTCATGTTGGGTTCTATTAGGAACATCAACGACATGCACAGTATATAACTTATCGAAGTAAATCCTAACGCAGCGGAATCTATAGTTAGGATTAGGATATTACCTTTTAAAAATTTTGCCGACTCAGAGACGTTTCTGATTTCCTTTGATGGAGATCATCTAATTACCACAACCCAATAGGCAGATGGGTTTGGCCTTTCTCGATTCTGATCGAGTGTTGAATCACGAACGGATCACCGGATCGAACTTGTCGGGATCGAACAGACCGTGTGTGACACGTTTCCTAGGCGCGCGAGGAGTCCTGGTCAAGCGCGGAGTAGCGGGGCGCGTAGGACTCGGACGCTGGGATTGGGTCGCGCCGATCACGAGCAGGGACGATCGGTCGGTGATGCGCGGGACTGCTGGGCGTGCTGGGACTTTCACGTGTGGCTCGGCTGCGTGCGGTTGCGGGCCTGTGCTCGTAGTTGCGCTCGAGTAGGGTTCCGGCGATGTCATGCAGCGGCGGCAATTTTCGGCGACTCTTGGCGGCGGCGGTCGGCGGCAGGTGGTGACCGGAATTAATGGATCTTTAAGGTTTGATAAATATCACCTTAAAATCTTCTAATCGATTACCTAAACACCTACTTCAATTAATTTTGGTGGTGCGATTAATTGAATCTCCCAAACACTCGAACAAGACAATTTTTCTCTCTTAGATAGGTGGAAAAATCGGCCAACATAACATGTGTACAAGAGGTTGGGACATGGTGTATTTATAGGCTCCATTAGAGACCTTAAGAAGGTGCTAAATATGGGCTTATCCCATTAGGAAGGAATCCTAATTCTACTCCACATATCTTTCCAAACTAGGATAAAACTCTTTTTACCAAACATCACCTTCTAGAAGACTCTTTAGTCTCCTAACCCTAGGTAGTTTTCTAGAAGGAATATTCTCCTACTAATGGAATATTAATTATGGAATAAAAATTAATTCCTAAAATCCTAATTAGAATAAAATAATAATACATCTCACTAGAGTAATATTATTGCTCTCCCCATTTAGCTCCAATTAAATCAATTAAATCAAAGCTCAACTTGATTAATAAATATTAATCTAATTGACTGATTTATCTCCATATGTTTAAGATATAACGTCCGTCGATTAATTAAATTACTGACAAAATAATTAATCAACTTCTTATTCATTTCCGAAATTAGTACCATTCAGATCGTTAATTATTATGTCGGATAATCATCCACCTGCAGGGTTTAACATAATATTCCTTCCTTAGCTCATTGCGGGGACGTCATCAATCCAGCGCACTGGAACATAGGGACCGTAAATAATTTATAACAGCACACCATATAAATATTCTCATTTACCAAGGTACCGAGTATGTCATCCTAACAGAATAGGAATCACATTTGGTAAATCAAATAAACAAGTAATAAATATAAATGCCCGTTTTATATTATTTTACAGCTTTAGAGAATGCATAAATCACTGAAGGTCTAGATTACAACAACGGTCAGTGAGTCTCATAATCTTATCCTTCCGTGGTCCTGTTCAATAATTAACATAAGTACTAGTGTAGTTCTCCAGTCAAAGATCAACTGAATCAGGAATACAACTATAGTCTTTTTCAAAGAGGGGTCTCACTGCCTATCTAGACTGTGAACGAGTAGTTTTGTAACACCCCACTTTTATTTGCCGAAAATCAGAATTAATTTTTCAAATTTATTTCAAAACACCTGAGGCGCTACTCATTTTCAAAACAAACTTCAATACTTAACCAATTTCTCGACACTCATTCAAACATCAAACTCAATCATCAACAATATTACTAACTCCCAAAACGGGTTTTCCAAAATTTATATATCACCCAAACCGGGTTTCAATAATATTCATAAATTCTAAGGAGCATCTCCTTAACATTATTCAAGCCATAAAATCCAGAATTCATAAATGCAGAAGCATAACAAATAATAAGACCGGTCTTATAGACCGACCACCACTCGCTCTACTCCGCCATCGTGCCTGTTTCGCTTAACCTGAAACGTGAATTTCAGGTGGGGATGAGCACAGTAGGAAAAAGTAGTGCTCACCACTATGCAGTAAACATTACTCAAACAAATCAACAGTATGATCTCAGCATGAATAAGAATCAATTTAATATCCCAATCTCCTGTCATCATAATATCGTCATAAGATCGTCATAAAATCAAGACTCATGTGCACACCTACGCATAGACTACTGCGGGGTAAAATACGGAATGCCCCTCGGGCTTCTATCGGTGCCCAAGCCAGTAGGAGTAAATTCTCAAAGGAGATTACCCAACGGGTACGTTCTATAGCTACGGGGATAACCGTTCGACGGCCGGTACAGCTCACATCGAAGGCTACATGGTTCACATGCATACTTTGATAATACCACAAATAATAAACATTCATTTATAACATTTACAGCATAGCAAATTTTAAATAAAACCCACCTGGATTCGGACTGATGATAGCAATTCAGAAAAGACGTAGGTCGAGACTTGACTCCTCAAACACCTACATTTAATAATATTTTTTATCTAATTATCAAGGGCGGCGACAAACAGGAAAGGGACAATTAAACACCTAAGGCAAATAAAACAAACAACGCAATTAAGACAATAAACGAATTTCTTGCAAACTCTATGCATGTAAATAGCATCTTTAGCCTTTAAATAAAAGGTAATGCAAATATCCACTAAGACACTGAATATTGCTATATGTAAAGACAGAGATTGCAAAAGGTAATGCAAATATCCACTAAGACACTGAATATTGCTAAATGTAAAGACAGATATTGCAGGTGGCTGAAGCCATATCTTTGAGCATTACTAAATATCCGAGAACACCAATTTGATTACATTAACACATGGAAAACGTGATAATGCTTTGCACTATGGTAAAACCAAATCTTTTTCCTCCAAGCCTTACAAACAAATCAAATATTTATAGAATCATCAAAATAGATCCATAATTATCTCTACATCACAGTACAGCTTTTCTATAGATTTATATGTTACCAATTCTTACAAGAAATACTAACCAAAAACACATGGAATTTATCCAACTAATATATCCCCAAATTAAATAAAAAAAAAATGATTAACCAAATCAATTAAATTCAACATAAGTCTGTACAGATCCTTAATTGTTGATTTGAACTAATTCTACTAATATACGAAAATATCTTACCCAGATTTGTAATAATTAACAATTTATACAATCAGATAAAGGCAAAGTATTCGACAATTCAGAACTCAGTCAATTTACTATATCATTTCGAGTCCAGTAAAAGCAGAATCATCAAATAATCTACATAATTAACATGCTTTACATCAATATAAAGCTCAGCAGAAATAGAGTACACACGGCCAGCCCTCACATTAAACAGAATCGGATTTCAAGGTCCAAAATTTCACATTTCCACAAGGACCCAACTTCACGAATTATCTTCAACATAAGCAATTCATATTCACTTTCAATAACACTATCATAATCCAAGTTAAACAGGATGACTTCACAATATCCAAAATTCACAATTTAAACACATAAATATATATCGACATCCCAAGGATAAGCCATAATACCTCCGGAAATAAAAATAGAGAAAATTCGGTTCTTGGCTCCCGGTTTGCTGCAGCCCGACAACCCGTGACGGCTGCCCGACCCACACAAAGGCTCGGGCTGAACGTGGTCGGCTCGTCTCTGCCGCTGCTGTCCGGTGCGTGCACGGTAGGCCTCAGACGGCTCTTCTCCGCCCAGTGCTGAGACCACAGTTAGTGGCGGCTGAACGGACGTGAAACCGGACTCGCCTCGGCTCGCGGTTTCCGTCTCGGGTGGCTCAAACGACGGCGGTCGAACAACTGTTGCTCACAGTTGAGGTGCGGCAATGGCTGATCGAGTTTGTTCACCGCGATGTGAGCTGCTCCTCCCGGACGGATCTCTGTTTCGTGTGCTTGCTGGGATGGCCAAAACTCCTCAGAGGCAGAGGGCTTCTGCTCTCGACGTGCGATGGCAGCTAGGTGACGGAGGTTCTCGAGACGACCGCTGAGGCGCCAGCGATGAGAGGAGTTCGCGACGGGTCTGCTCGCAGAGACTGTGGGACAGAATTTCTCGTCGGCGGCTGGCTGGGCTCGACGAATAGGGGCTTCTCGCGGCGGTGGATGGTCGCAGATCACGGCGGTGCTAGGGATGGGGTGCCTCGCGGCGGCGGCTGCAATTAACGCCGGCGAGAAGAGAGGGGTTCGCCTCGCGGCGGAAAAGAGAGTAACGGGGAAGGGCTAACGAACAGGACTCCAACGTTTGGTGCGCGCGGGGCTGCTCTGTTCTGGGTGGTGGTCGTCGGGCATCGTTAATTGGTCGCGACTGTGAACAACGGCGATTCAGTGCACGGTGGCTGGAAGGCGGAGGAGATGAGGACGATTCCGGTGGGGCGATTTATGAGGTGATTTTCAGAGTTTGAGAGAGAGATTTGATGATGAGGGAGAGATCGATGGGATCTCGATCTGGTTCTTCCTGATGAGAAACCGCGTGAGGAGAAAACGAAAGAGATAGGGCCGAGGTCTTACGTGCGTTTAAAAGGAGAGTTGGGCTTAGGGTCGCTAATAATTGAGCTAGAAACATTTTGCAAAAATAGCCCAAAACAATTAAATCATTTGGGCCGAAGGTTCGGGGCTGGTTAAGTTATGGGCTCGCGGGTTCAATGAAATGATTCGGTTCTCCGGCTCGAGTCGACGTAGCGCTAAATACACGTCTTCTTCTCGGGCTCGATAAATTGCAACATAAATAAATCGGGTATAATATATATTTATAATACACACAATTTAATTTTTAAAATAATAATAATATTAGTAAAAATATAAATACACATTTTAATTAAATAATAACACTTAGACAATTTGACAATTAATCATATTTAGACAATTAGATATTTAATTCACAATTTAACAGATAAATCATATAGACATTTAATATTTAACATTTAATCAATAACAATAACAAATAAAAGCAAATAATAATAATAAAAATAAATAATAAATAATTCTCAAATATTCAATAATGAAACGGGCCATTACAAGTTTAGTCTTACAAGGAACCGATAGGTGACCTTTCTGTTCGAGACACCACGAATCACACTATCTCAATGTAAGACAAGGAGTATGATTGCATAAATAAATAAACTACAAGCATATGTATTTTGACTAAAACATGATTGTCAGCTTAAAAATGGTATTGTTCATATATGAAAGCCAAGCTTTTACAGCATATCTAACACTTCACCCGTAGAGAATGAGAGTGAGTGACCTGCCTAGAGCTTCTTAACCAATGAATTATACTAGTACACTTTGTGTGTACAGAACGCACCATGGAGGAGAAGTTTATTTTATATTGACAAAGTAAATAAACTAGACCTCATGATATCGCTCACACTCTTAATTAGTTTGATAATGATGGGTACATGTGATTAATTTTTGTTCTTTGATACATCAAAGGGTAAGACTTATTCTGCTAGGTCAATAACTCTGTGAGTTGGAATTATTATTAATCACATGGTGTGTTGTTGATTATACCCGATCACTGTGTACTGGTACGCCAAATTGTTGATATCCCCGAGATGAGCTTCAAAGATTTATTATGGCAAGCCATGAAGGCAGATTTAATTTCAGCGTAATAAAAGGGATTGAGTGGTACTAGTCTCGGAATATCAAGAATTTAAGGAATTAAATTATCAGCAATTAAATCAATTAATTGCCATTATATCTTTGGCATGGAATATTAAATTAAGGATAGTGAAGCTCATGTAAAATGGGGTGAGGGAAAAATGTAAAATAATGAATATTTAATGAAATTATATATTATTAATGGCCAAAAAATAAGATGGTCCATAGCCTAAGTATTTCTTGCCCCATTGAGAGTCTTAATCCTAGCCTTCTGAGGGTCCATGTTGTAGCTTATAAATAAGCAAGGTTGGTAACTCATTCTCCTAATCCAAGAATAATTTCACACGCCCAAACGTGAGAAAGAGAGGAGAGAAAAGAGAGAGTTTCGGCAACACGTGATCGATATATCATCGTACACACAACGTCCGACCGAGTCAGGAAAACAAAACACAAGACGCAAGGTTACTGGAAGCAACGCACGGACACACGATCCAACACACGCACGCTTGTCGCAACCCCTCATGCCACAGCCCTGCGGTCTCCCAGCACGCCACAACACACAACCCACGCAACCGACAATGCCCAGCTGCAACACCATAACGTGCGACCTGCAACGACTAGGCGACCGTATAGCGCAACAAGCGACCGCGACACATGGACAAGGCGAGGCAAACAAAGGAAGGTTGAAGAACATCTCAAAACTTTTCGTCTGGGCTTATAACCCGTGCAGTCTATACAAAGTTGGTTTTGCTAAACCGTAAGATCTCGATTCTAATCTTTAGATTTCACTGCACTTTAGGATTAATTTCATAAGTTTTCAATTAGAAAACAATAACCTACCTTATTTATCGAACCCAACAGTGGTCAAGCCCACAACTGCCAGAATCATTCTATCAGTTGTTGTTACCCTTGGTTGGGAACATAAACAGATTGATGTTGATACTGCTTTCTTAAATGATACATTGATTGAGGATATGTACATGCAGCAACCTCAAGGGTTTGAGATTAATGCTAATTTGGATCGTGATTGCAAGCTTCATAAGTCACTCATGGCTTAAAACAAACATCTGGAGCTTGGACTTCTAAATTCAGCTCAGTCATACTTTCTCTTGGGTTTTCTGTTTCCAAAGAAGATACATACTTCTTTGTATTTTAGACATACACCTAATAGCTTCATATTAATTCTTGATTATGTGGATGACATCATCCTTACTGAGAGTGATTCTTCAGAATCACAAGCCTAGTACACTCTCTATCATCACATTTTTTTTAAGGACCTTGGTACTTTAAATTTCTCATTGGGCACCAACGTCACTCATTCGCTGATTTTCTTGTTTTAGATCAATCTGAATACATTGAGAATCTTCTACATAGAGTTGGGATGAAGAAGAAAAATGATTAAGAGCCCTATGATCTCATCTCCAGCCCTATCTAATTTTGATGGCAATTCTGTGGAAAATGTTCATCTATACAGACATATTATAGATCCATTGCAACATGTAACCTCAACAAGCTGAGATATATAATCTTTGGTTAATAAGGTTTATCAGTTTATGCAAGATCCACTTAGTACTCATTGGAAGGTTGTTAAAAGAATCCTCCGATACTTGGCAAGCATTAAGAGTTATGGTTTAAAAGTTGAGAGATGTTCACTTATCAATCTTACTGGGTTTTGTGATGCAGACTGTGGATCAAATCTCGATGATAGGAGATCCACATCATGAATGTCTGTATCTTTGGCCACAATCTAATATCTTGGAGTTTTAAAAAGCAATCTAGTCTCCAGATCCTCTACTGAGGCAGAATACAGGAGCTTGGCACAGGATTTATGTGAGATCATCTAGATACAATCCGTATGAACTTCCTCAAACCGATTAAAATTTAGGTTGATAATCGTGGGGTTGTTTGTCTAGCTGCAAATTAGTGAACCATTACAGAACTAAACACCGTGAGTTGGACTTACCCTTTATAAGGGAAAATATTGAGAACAAGATAATGTCAGTCCAACATGTTCCAGCAACTGAACATATAGCTGATGTGTTTGTTAAAGCCTTAACTGGTCAATTCTTTACATACCTTAGAAACAAGTTAAAAATAGTTCTTAACCTCTGCAAAGAATTGAGGGAGCATATTGAAGGTCATGCACACGTCAACAAAGAAGTGATGCAAGATGTTGATCTTACGGACACCAAGGCCGAGTCAAGCCAAGAGAGAATTCGAGCTCACAGGTACACTAGCTTTCCCACAGATGAGAGCTAAATGACAACTTACTATAAACCATGGAAGCTTTATGCTTTGGCTAATGTGCTTAACACATGTAACTTATCTCTCTGCTAAGTTTGTATAGCCGCAAAATATATATTTATATTGTTAGCATTGAGATCTGTATGAAGAAACAATAGAGAAATTTCAAGCTTGTTTCTTGCATTGCCTTTAATGGCTTTTGTCTCTTTTTCTTATAGAAAAATTATAATTTGTATTAATCTACACTTTTCAACAACGAATTGTTTTTGTTAGTCATTGGGTTGTGAGTTTTAGACTTGAATGTTTTAGCTTTTTGGTTCATATGAGTATACAATACCTCTAGGGTGTGTTTGGTTGCCCTTTATAAGCTTGATATCAAGCCTTTTGTTTATAAATCATTAAGTTTAAGTTGTTTGGTTCACATTCAAAAAGCCCATGATATTGCTCAAACCCAGTTTCATATCCATTGATTTGTTTATAATATATCCCACCATGAGGATGGGATACAATATAGGCAGTTACCTCACAATTGTCTAATTATTCATTAGCCCTCAATTTATCAAAAGCAACTCATCGTTGCAGACTCGCATTTCCATTCCACCTCCATTCTTCTTTAATTTTTTTACAACATTTTTTTTGTTTTTTGTTCAGAATAACACAAAAGCAGAAAACCCACCATGAACGATCCAATGTTGAAAACCTTGAAACACAAATTCAATTTTAGATCTATCATTTTTAAAAAAGGCAATTCGTGAATCTATCTTAAATTCAGTGGAGACGAGTTGCAGCAACAGAAGGGTAACGAGGAGGTAAGAGAAGCTCTTCTCCCGACAACTAATTTCTTCTCGAGCACGCCACAAAGACCTTGTCGATGGACGGATTTTACATTGATCAGTTGTTTGAGCACATCATCATCCCGACTGGCTGAACACCAGCTCCCTTCTCCTCCACTACACAATACCACTAGCTTGTGGATTTAAGGTTTAATTTGGTGAACAAATATTATTGACCAAACAAGAGTTAATAAGATCTGAAAATATTTCAACTCTTTTGAGAGTGTTGCTCAATTAGCTTTGAAATCTGTTTGTAAAAAGAGCCAAAGAGATGAAGATATGATGGGGCTATTTTGGGTGAAGTGAATATTATTTATGAATGAGCAATAAAAGAAATATGAAGCAAATAATTTATTTAATTTTATGGGCTTGATTCTAATTGACCGAAAATTAACCAAACATCACAATAAAATTGATGGAGTTTCATGGATATAGAGAAAAGCCCATTTTTGATACTATCAGGCACATACTATTCTCTCGTGGAGAGCGATACTTTCATCTTCGATTCTGATCTAATCCTGTTATTTTCCATTGATCCCAACCTGATTTTCCCTCATTCTCATGTTATTCAATCTTCCCTAACCCCCATTTCTGGTGAAATTCACTATCTAG